GATGTTTATCGAAGATCATTGGAGTCATCGATTAATATCGATATTTCAGAGAGATATTTATCGATTTTTACAGATATGACGATGATTCTTGATGAATATCGCCCCAAAAAATTTCCTGATGTTTGCACAGTATATGTAATGCGTACTTGGTTGCAAAAGGTTTATCATTCAGCAACGCGCAATCAATTAGTTTTGACAATGCATAAGATAACAAGAATCAGTTGTGAGAAGATCATTCGAAATGCAATTGCTGTTTGTCCTGTTTCCAATATTATCCATTATATTAACCATAATTATATTAAAAATACAGAGAAATGAGCTCTCTGAACGCGCTAACATTCTCCTTTGTTGTTACAAGTCATGTCAACAAATCTGCTGGAATCTTGCCATAGCGAACTTAAGCATACAATAATCAAAAAATATGGTCTTGTAGATGAGTAGAAATTCAAAATAAACTCATGAATCAAAACTTATATTAAAAAAGGTATTAAATCCATTTGTTAGGTACGTGTTATAAAATCATCGAGCTCGATGATAAAAAATGACTCGACTTCAAAAAAGCTGCCTTCAACTTCTGTCAAAAGAGAATCTCTATAGTCAACCTTGATGATGAGATTCTGGAAGAGGTCCATAAATTTCCATATTCCATCCAAAAGCTGATCGCAAATAAGGCTATGGCTATGAGTGTGAGGATTACAAAGGAAAAGTTACCATCAAGCCTAGAGATGGCGCAGCAAGTATGTGACGCTTATTTGTCACCCGTTGCAACACGTTGCAACTCCAAAATTTTATAAGCCGCAACTAGTTGCAACTAGGTGATGCTTTATTTGTCACCACGTTGCAACAGTTGCCGCGCCATCTTTAATCAAGCCTAACATCACCAAAGTGTGATTGCGAATTCTTCTATCATTATATGTTTCCTTGCCAACACATCCTTCACCAGCAACTTTTTGGTCCTGAAAAACTGTTGACAATCAATACTTGGGAAGAATTCCAACAGATGTTTGCGGAGATTGGTTTTGAAATATATGAACGCCGTGAAATAATTGAAACATTTGAACCTCTTCAGACTTCAGCAGGAAGAAAGGCAGAAATACGAAGATTATAAGTGGATGAGCTTATGGAAAGGGTGCAGAATAGGTATTGGATAGTTGAGAATGGAGGTAATACAGATGTAACCAAAGCATTTATTGCATCTTTAAATTCATCATTGGATTTATTTCTTGTTAATTTGTAAATTTTTATTTGTATAAATTTATTAAATAAATATTATTTTTGCTATCCAGATGGAAAAATTGTAATTAATTGGTAGAAGTGAAATATGCAAGAAGATAATAGCAAAAGCTTAAAAAGAGCTATTGCTATAATTGTTATTGTTTGCTATAATTATTATTGTTTGTTATCATTGTTTGCTATCATTGTTTGCCCAGACGTATTAGCGTTCACATGATTTTGATCACATGATCAGGATTGAGTTAATCCGGATCGGATCTCTAAATCACGTGAAACTACCCGGCTTTAGTGGACCCCTAAACTTGGAACCAAGTGCGGAAAAAGACGGCTGTAATAAAGAGTTTAAAAGATATATATCGGATGGATGGCGTCGGAATCAGAATCATATTGCAATAATTTTTTTTGTCATTAGAATATGGCTAGGTTCTTTTCTTGATCGATAATAAATTTTAAATTTCCATTCTTGATTAAAATTTAAAAAATCCTATTCTTTATATAGCCGATCAGGGGTGAATCAAGAAAAGGGAATTTTGCGCAGGAGCCGCTTCGATGAGGACATTTTTGTGGAAAATCCCATCAATCAGAAGTCGGCATTGCATTATACAGTCAAACGAAATATCAATAAAACTGCTGAATTTTTACTAATAGCCCAGGATTGACCGTTTGTAATATTAGCGTTATCGTTATCGTTATCGTTATATAAATAGTAATTTTTTTCTCAGTCACTGATCTACAAATCCACTCGTGATCAAAAATTTTTGAAGCTTCTTTTTAAATATCGTTACAAATTCTAACCTCTTCAGAGAAAACGTATTATGGGTATGTCTCTTTAGTGATTGCTTATGTTTTTATTTTATCTATTATTGTTATCATGATGGACATGATGGATGGCTTTTAATTATATCTTGATAGCGTGTAATTCTAGCGTTTTTATAAGAGAATATAATTCACTAATTTTTTTTTAGGTAAGGGAAAACCTAGAGGCTTGCAAAGCGCTCGCAAACTGCGTACACACCGTCGAGAAGAACGGTGGGCAGACAAACAATATAAAAAGCGGGCTTTGGGTACAGCATATAAATCATCTCCTTTTGGCGGATCTTCTCATGCTAAGGGTATCGTACTAGAAAAAATGTAAATATTATTGAAAGATGACAATTAATCTATTGATTTTCTATTTTATTTTGCTAAAAGATTCATTCAATCAATTTGTATTGTTTATTTAGTGGTGTTGAAGCTAAACAACCGAATTCGGCTATTAGGAAATGTGTCCGTGTTCAATTAATAAAAAATGGTAAAAAAGTTACAGCTTTCGTACCGAATGATGGTTGTCTAAATTATGTCGAGGAGAATGACGAAGTGTTAATTGCCGGTTTTGGTCGTAAAGGTCGCGCTGTAAGAAAAATTTTAGTTTATTTTTTGATTATCAAAAAATATCGATTTTATTTTTATTAATTATCATTTCTAATACAAAGGTTGGTGATATTCCCGGTGTGCGTTTTAAAGTGGTTAAAGTATCTGGTGTATCTTTACTGGCTCTGTAAGTACAATATATTTTTATTAATTTGCGAAAATCGGTTTTCTCTAACAAAAGATTATATACATATTTTTTTTTGACTTAGTTACAAAGAAAAAAAAGAAAAACCACGGTCTTAATATTATTTGCATATATAATTTAAATTATATTTGTTTTTGGTCCTCAGACTTTGTGTTTCTTTGCGCTATTGCCTTATGTTTCATCATTAGCCTTCAAATCACTTTTTTTACTGGTAGATTATGATGACGTTGAATATTGATGATGATTATTCAAAAATTATCGTGTATAAATAACTAAACTAAAATTATCTTCATTTTCGACACTGACAATCTGGAAGATTGCATCCTAATAATTGATATTAGCAGTCAGTACTTTGGAGAATGTGATATAATAAAAATACTTAAAAATTAAATTTGTCATATCAAACATTTATTATCCAAAAATAATGTCAAATAGGTCAATTTCAAGACCAATAACTTTTTCTGATGATGACATTACTCTAACAGATGAAAAGAAGGAGAAACAATACGTACACGATGTGTACGAAGCGATAGCACCACATTTCAGTAAAACAAGATTTAAGGTATCTTAGATGGTGTTATCGATTTTTTTTCATTATTATTTTTAATAATCAACTCGTATACGTTGTATACATAATAAATAGCCTTGGCCTGTGGTTGAAGCATTTCTCAAACAGCTACCAAGTGGGAGTATTGGTGCGGATGTTGGTTGTGGTAATGGCAAATACTTGTCCGTGAATCCTGATCTATATATAATTGGATCTGACAGGCAATTATTATTAAAATTATTAAATAGTTGCTGATTATCGGGGTTTCTTATATTTTATCAATATAATGTAGGAGTTCAAATTTAATTGCGATATGTGGTTCAAAAGGATTTGAGGTTATGATAAGTGATGCGTTAAATTTACCGTATAGAACGGAAAGTTTTGTATCCTTTAGAAAAATCATATTTTTAATGAATTCGATTTACCGATCGAATAAATTTATTATTTTTAATTAAATTTTTCCTACGCAGGATTTTGTAATATCAATAGCTGTTATCCATCATTTAAGTTCAATCGATCGAAGAAATACTGCAATCATGGTAAAATTTTTAGTTGTAAATATTATTGATAAATTAATAATTATTTTATTGTCCATTCAAAGGAGTTATTTCGTATAGCGAAACCAGATGCACAAATCCTTATCTATGTCTGGGCATTAGAACAATCTACCAGTTCAAGACGTCAGTTTGATCAAGAGCATCAAGACGTTTTTGTTCCGTGGGCTATGCCTATCCAGACGAACAATCTTGACAATATAGATGATCAAAATGAAAAGAAAAAAGAAATTGTTTACAATCGGTAGGGAATATTAATTTGTGTTTGAACAGTTTTACACGATATTCAAATCAACTCATTGTTCGATTCATTAGGTATTATCATCTTTTTCGAGAAAATGAATTAGATGATTTAATTATAAGAACAGGTCTTGCTGATATTGTTAAATCAGGTTATGATAAAGATAATTGGTATGTGATTGCAAAAAAGAAACATCTTACTTATTAGGTGTATAGTGTCGTTGTAGTTGGTTTCAAGAACCTTCGTGGATACTATTCAGCAAATATTCTCATCTTACCTTATAAGAAAAAGATGCAGATTCAGACAGAAATCACCATAAATATCCTGAATTTTCCACGTTTACCCCATTGATATTATTGTTACTACTGTTGCGGTTGTTTGAACCTGTTAAATTGAATACCATGGAATAAGATTCCATTATCAGACGTTTTTCTCCTTTCAGTTTACGAATCGCTTGAAGGTAGGTCCACGAACGTGATTCCTGCGGTGATGGCGACGACGACAACGATGAAGGTGAATGTTTTATGAAGGAATTATGATGATTATTAATTCCGTTTTCGTATCCCATGAATCTATGAACATTATGCAAAGATTTCAGCGTGGCGTTTGTCATGGTCGTCCCTAATGTCGCAGTATTAGATATTCGGTTATTATTATGATTATTGTCATCCGAGTGTTTGCCTATCTCATAATTGACGGTTGGTAAAATTTCTGGCCTTTCCAGAGTTTTTATAGTGTCTAACTTATTAGTACTAGTAGTGGTAGAAGCTTCTTTATTCATTTGATGTGAAGATGTATTATTCTGTTGTAAACTGGCAGGTGGACCGCCCCAACTTTTCCAACGTGCTCGTCCTGATTCACGAGAACCTGCACCGTTAGGCGAAGGGGATCTCGATGCTAAATCAAATGACTGACGATTCCGTGAATTATTCGTATTGGATATTGACGTTACATTATCGATTTTTTGATGAATGAACGTTCTTAAATATATATTCAAAGGAAGTTTATAGAACACAATTAATTCTAAAAAAGTCCATAGAACAAAGTCGAGAGCTGTCGAAGAAACGGATAAATTTTTCGGAGTTGTCGTGATAGATTGCGAATTTAAAATAACATTGATTCTCTCATTTATCAATATATTGCTACCATTTTCTTGTTTTACATCTGCTACTTGTGGATTTACTAATAAATTTGCATTACTAATTGATGGAGTTGATCCTCGAGAATATAATCCAGATTTTGATTGCGTCATCGCAGATGTTTCTAATGTTTTACGGATAAATTGAGATATATGTAACCACATTCCTGGTACTGCTGTTATATATATTTCAGCTCGAATCAAAATAATTTTCAAAGCATTGAAACTAATCATAAATAAAGCAGCGGCTTGAACAGTCGATGGCATTGTTTTACTGTTATTACGAATAATATTTTCTGCTGGTAATTTATCAGTTTTTGTATCTGTTTCTGTTTGTGATGACGATCCAAGGAAATTGAAAGCAGTTGTTTTTGATCTCATTATAAATTCTCTATTACACACCTTAATTACATATGCTAGTAGTCTTAGCCAATAATTAATTGCTTTGTGCTTTTGATGACGTAAAGTATTTGTTGATGGCATAGGCGTGAATAGATTGTTTTCGAGTTCTAACTCTAAGAATATTGGTGTTAAGATGTATGCAATGAACTGATTAGATGGTGGAGTTTTCTCTAATTCCATCACCAAATCCTGATCTGTATTCACCATCATCGCCACAAATAACTTTACTAAAGATTGACAAAAGCATAATTGGAATCGTTCCCCTTCTTCCCAATCAGGTCTAAGTGCAACTGAAAGTCCGAATGATAGGAATTTTTCCCGTATAACAGATGCAATTCCTTGATCATTCAATGCAAATTCACATTTATTTGTCACTATTAAAGTAATACCATCAATGAGTTCAGAGAAATCCATGGTTTTATAGTGCTGTCGAAATAAAGGCGCAAGGTGTCGCAAAAAAGTAGTTATCGGTCTTCGTCCATCTTCGAATGTGGCATTATGCAATAATACATTTACAATATATTCTTTAAGAAATTTAGTGGAAGAACGTTTTGTTGTTGTGGAATAATCTTTTAAAATTAACCGTATTATATTACCCAATTTATTTTGAATATTATCGGAAAGTACCCCTCCATTTTTCCGATACGTTTGTATTAATAATAAGAAATATCTTTTTATGGTTATGCGGTCATTTTGATGCCATTGTTTACCGTATGCTTGCATTGTTGCAGCTTCTGTAACTCGGCTGCTTCTGGCTGTATTCGGAATATTTTCAGATAATCCAGAATTATCTCCTAATACGCTATTGGTCGGGTCTGATGATAGTGCATCCGAAAAATGTTGAGGAACTGATTTCGCTGTCTTACCAAATTTCAAGAAAACTTCCGTCAAAGCATTAATCCCATCCTCAACCATTGATTTCATCAAAGAAGATTCTTGCAACAAATGTGGAAGGAGATAACGTAGAATTTGCACCATTTGTTCAGCACGTGATGAACCAGGATCATATGCAATGATAGTCAGGAATAAACGAAGCAAATCATCCAATGCAAAGATTTTAGAATCTTCTTGAAGTTTTCCAGCCCTCCTTGCCAATGCAGTGTTTACGTTATTAAGCAATGCTGCAGGATCAAGGACACCATAGTCTATAGTATCCGACTCTTCTGACAAGTCTTCTTGTATACCAAGCGCATCTGTCCATTTCATAGGATAATTCAATGCTTTAAATAAAAGATACAATGATGTACACATCCATTCACCGAGTGCCAAAGATTTACCAAAACCTTTTAATATTAACGGTGATAAGCATCCAACTGCTTGAAAGACAAAAGATTCACCATGGACTTTATAAAATTGACACCACGAAAAAGTAATTGCCAAACGTATTGGTTGTGTTTTCTCGGATTCACAAAAGACCTTAAATAGAGCCGGGATAAACATTGCATATCCTCGATTTGTATCGAATAATCGTCTAAACCGTGTTATCATCTTCATATATAGAACGAGTGTTTGACTGACAATTCCGAAATCATTTTGATGATCAAGGAAAATAGTATTGACTCCTTCTAATAATTTATTAAGTTCTGTACGATCATTATAATTACGATAAAGTCCTAATATTAATGATTGTAAAAAATTGAGCCATGCGCGAGCTCTAAGAGCAGAGAGTAATCGAGAATCTTTTTCATGACGAGTAATTGCTTTAAATTCGATTCTAGACGAATTGCTATTTTGATTTGGTATGACCGGGAAATATCGTTCATCATCACTCAACGCGTTTATTGAATTGTCGAATTCATCTCGGATAGACTCAAATGTGTGAATCATTTTTTTCATTGAATATGATTCTTTTGGACATTTAATTAGAAAGTTTGTCATAAACTGTATATGTCCTATTCTTAGCATTGCCATTTCGAATACTTCCATAGGTATATTCAAAATATCAAATTTACTTCGAGGATCTATCATTTGACGAGGAAACATTGAAGTAGGAGTGCCTTCCGTGAACCAAAACTGACCATTATTGCAAAGTATATTTTCTATTTTATTTTTTCGAAAATCACGAACTGCCATTTCATTTATTGCTGTGACTAATTCTGCCAATAGAGGAATAGTTTTGATCATTAGGGCGAATCCATTGCTTTTATTATCACGCGCAGAACATTTCAAAATTCCAGCGAGATGATTAAAAAGTGTATAAGTGAATCCAGGTGGGAAAAAGTGCTGCATGGAAATGAGAATACGAAGTCGAGTAAGTAGTTCTCTTTGAACTTGAAATTCAGATTTCCCCAAATCACTCAAATATATTCGTAGAAATAAAGTCGGATCATCTCGAAGAAAGTATAAGATAGTTTCCTTAGCAAGATTATATACACCTCCATGGGAATCGTCCAATAAATCCACAATATGAAGGGAAATCTTGCTTAATATTGATATGTTAGTTGCTCGACGTTTATTGAAAGTTGGATTTATAAAAAGTAAAGTTTTATTGGCTCTTAATGTTCCAATTTTTTCCTGAGATTTTTGATAGGATGCATTTTCTTCACCATGCCTCAAGTCATTATCATCAAGAAAGAAAGTGGGCAACAATGAAAGCGGAGTCGTAGTTCTCTTTATACGTTCTTGTTCAATTTCATCCTGTTCTTCCCATCCAAGTTCCTGAATGCGTCTACGAACATCAGCAGTTAAACTGGCGATATTTTTCATTTTTGGTCCACGTGTCGAATCATACATCATCATATCCGATGAGCCAAGATCTGTTGGCACAAATGGAATGGCAGGAGGTTGCGAACGAAATAGACGACGGCGGGTTGAATTAGATATATATGGATGCAATAATATTTGTTGCCGATGACCAAAAAGAGAGGAAATTTTGCGAAGAGTCATAGCGCGGATTAATGCATTCGTACTAAATTCAATTATAGGATTTAATCGTTATAGATAAGTATTAGAAATAAATAAATACTTTTTATAATTATCTACCTATAAAGATCTCTTGAAACGATATCTTTCACAATAGTGGGTGCATTCTCACCACACTGAATGAATAAAAATGAAGCTGAATTAAAAGCTTTATGTTCCCTATCATTTAAAAACCGATTCCAAATATGAGGTCCCAATCTTGCATAATCATCGGCTGCTAAGGTTGTAGAAGCTGCGACAAGTAGTGATAAAATTGCTTCTGCTATATCTTCAGTAAAACTAGTAAACCGATGTAATCTTTGTTTGGAGGTTTTAGCAGAAATCCATGATTGGTGGGTCCATGGAAATGCTGGAGCCGTGACTACAGTTGAACGACGTTTCATTTCGTGATAAGGAGTTAGAGAAGTTCCAAGGGTATTATGAGATGTTGGTGATACGGGGATCGTTTTAGGAATTACAGGGACTGGGACATCCAACATTTCATCCTAGTTTAATATTTACATAAATAAATAAATCAAGTATATCATATAAGAGAGCCAAAGATTTTATTATAATTCATCAACTTACTTTATCTCCATCTACTGATGTCCAATCATCTAATGTTGCATAAACTACTCGAATCCTGTGAAATATCATCTCAACCTCATCTAGTTGATCCTCGTCTATCCGAAGCTCAGCAAGCGTTGCAAATGGATTATTTGGTTGCTGATTTGTTCCACCGAGCATCGAATCACGATATATTACAGTTCCGGGAGTAGAATTAATTAGCCAATCTATCATACGTGACAGCCAACCAGGACTAATATTAAATAATTTGATTAGTCAATAATTATGAAATTATAATCTTTAATTTCTAATCTACTAACCGATTAGTAGTCTTGCAATAAAGACGAATTTCAAGAAATAAATCGCTAAGCAAAACACGTAATGGCATAGGAACCAATTTACTTTTCTCCTATAAGATATATCGTTTATTAAGTATTTCAAAATATTCCGTAAAAACTGACTGTAATCTTTTTCATCTATTACCTTTGCAGCAATATAAATTGCCAGGCGATGTTCTAGATCAATCAAGAATTTTTTGGCAGATTCATCAAGTTTGATATCCTTCGTCCGCTATATAAATATTTAGAGTATACTAAGTATAGATTACAAGTATTAGAATTTAAAAATATAAAAATGGTTACATTGAGTCTCTGTAGCCTTAGTTGTCGTACGATCCATACGAATTCCATAATGAGAATACACTGGCCCAAATTCGTTGAACCCCAATTGACATTAGATGATCTTTTTTGTGTATCCATTTTCAAACGAGAGGTACGTTTACTTTCACCAACATCACTCAGGATAATTACAGTCATTAATTCTACATCTTGCATAAATAATTCAACTCCGCTTAAATGACGCAGCAAAATGGCAATAAGATGAAGGTATTCGGCAACCTTAGTCTCAGAATCTGACGCTACACATGCAAACATTGGTTTGTAAAATTGCGGGCGGTGAGTTGAGGTCAAAGCTAAAAGCAATTTCTTAAGATCCGGAAAGGGTTCAGGATCATCTTTGACTATTTTCTAAGAGAATTCAAAAAATCATAGGCTTTAATCCGATTTACTTTAGAAAGTTTAAAAATAAGATGAGAAGCTTACCGTAAAAAAATCATTAATCGTTTCTTTAACTATTTCGCTTCCAATACTTTCATTCAATCCATATATTAATTGATTGTATATAGAGATACACCTTTCAAGATTATCTTGCTCAAGCTAAAAAGAAAATATACACATTAAAATGGGTATTTGTTATATTATAACAATATTCTAATACTTACCGCTTCTTTCACAAGTTGAATTATTTCTGTTTTCCAACCTTCATTCCATAAATCTTCGAAATATTTTTTGGCCAAATTTATAACAGCAATTTCTGTTGTATGCGATTCAATTGTACTACTTTTAAGTGTTGATGAATTTCGTGCAAAAAAATCTACCGTCGATGTTGATAACGAAGAACTTCGTGGAAGGGCGCTATCTTGAAACTGCAGAGAGAATATAGATATAATCACACTTACTAGCGATTTTACAACATGAGATGAAATATTTCGAAGATTTTTAGCTGGCAAACTTTGATTCAATATTTTTAAAATGTAATAGGGGAGTGTTTCTATTCCATATGTAGTGCCAATATCACCAGATTTAGTATCAGCCAATATTTCGAAGGCAGCTTGTGCAAAAAGTTGGATGACATGCTCATGTGACAATTGCATCGTTTGATCAGGTGTTATCCAATATTTCTGGAGAATCGTTAATTGTAATTTAATATAAAAGAATAATCGTTAGAATGTCAATAGAATAAATCCGGTAAAACCCCCCCCCATTTAAATCAATGTTGCCTGAAAACCCCTTTTTAAAATCTGGCAAAAATTAAAGTGATTTCAACTTCTACCAAGAAGGGTTTTCAAAGTGCCATCGATCTATTAATCAATATCAAAATTAGAAACTCTTTACAACTTTTGCCAGATTCAAAAAAAAAACGAGATTTGCCTGACAACATTAATTCCGACATCCGATGAAAATTAAATCTGAATTTTCGTAGCTTATCCATTCACTTTTTTTTATTCAGCTATGAGGAGTAATCATTAATTTAGCTTCCACGATCGGATAAATATTCGGATGATTCCAAGATTACGCAATTATTACGCCATATATCGTATTGTCGTAGTCTATATGACATAATATTGTTGCAACCTGTAACCCTATGAGGGTAAAATTCCTGCACCCTTTATCATAATAAGTAACTCCTAATGGTTAACTTTACCTCGATTAAATTAGCCAAAACATATTTACGCAATTGTATATGTTTAACCAATAAGCATTTGACCAATCCTTCAAGAAATATGCATCGGGCTAAAATATCGTACTTGTTGATTTGAACATGCGCGTCACCAATAAACATTTCATTAATATCAATGGAAACTAAGGTGCCAGCAGCAAGTCGTTCCAAAAAACCGTTCACCATTCTTTGAAGACGAATAGTTTCATCTGTTCGATCATTTGTCGGTAATGTTACCACTAATGTATGTACAAAGGTGTAAACAAGTGCATGAATCGCGGTAACTGAAGTTGGAAAATAAGAATTTGCTGCGGTGCTGTTGAGCAAATTTTCCGCTAAATCACAAACTCGTATCTGTAAAATTATAATGTTATAGTTTTTCGTAAAGATAGCTGGAAAGACGCGTCGCAAAAATTTATTTCCACGAATAAAAAAATAGTTTACCTTAATCGCATGATGGTGTGTTTCTAATAATTTGCAGCACCATTGAATTCGAGCAAAATTTTCCTGTTAGAAAAAATCCTTAATTCTTTGCAATCATGAATAAAGATGCAAACACATTACCATCGGAGGTTTACGACATTATTACGACATATATTGCATTTTGATAATTTTGACATACGTTGTAATATTAGTGTCGTAGGGTAATATGTTTACACCTCGAGTTAAATAGATATAAGTAATGCAGGAATTTTCCATACATTGGGATCCGGATTTCGGAAAGTATTTCTGATATAATCAAAAATATCTAATGCTTGATTGCAATCATCCACTGGATAACATAAGTAGTAATATATTATTAAAATATGCAAATCCCTCAATAAACGAGTTTTAGTAACTTATGCATAACAAACCATTAACTGGAAAATTAAAAAAAGGCTTGGCTAATTCTGCAAAAATTATCTGACTAGAAGGCAGTTTGACCAAATTTTTCCAGCGCTTCAATAATTCAAGAAGTTCGCCTAAATAATTAAGTGGCTCGCTAACGTTGCCACTGATACCCCCATCCTGAGTGCTCAAAGAGGATTTATGCGCGCGATGACCTTTCATAACTAATTCTGTAACTGGTATCTGGCCTACGATTCCTGTAGGACCCAAGGCACTTCCGGCAGTATTGTTAAAAATGTGTCCACCATATCTTCGATTCAAAAGTTTTTCTAAGTCTTTTTCCATTTTATCTACGTCAGTCCGCTGCTGTACGGTTGTCTTAAAACGAAGTACATTACGAAACGGGTTAACTTGTAGATTATGCTTTGAATTCGCCCGAGAATGAGTAGTCGATTTAGAACTGGAACTGCCAGCATCTGAACGTGGGGATACTGGAGACTCTGGTTCTTGTTCTTCATTATTGTTGACAATAGTAGTTAACTTGGGCAAAGGAGGTAAAGTTTCTTCAACTAAAATACGTTCCCTAAGCTTCTGCCAATGTGAAGGAGCTCTCCGAAGATTACTAGATTCTTTTTGTAGAGGATTTGAGGATGCAATCTGCGTTGTGTCAGAATTGGCCACTGATAACGGGTCAACGAAATTTGGCCTTCCCGCCATAGTTTACATTAACCCAATTTTTCGGAGTTAGTAGCAATAGTTCTTGAATTCTTGCCAAAATTCTTTTACCTAGACTATGCAGGGATCCAATTGTGCGTGATTCTATTAACGAGACAGCCTGAATTATCAAATACAAAAACACGTTATTTTAGACTGACATTTACTAGCGTCAGATATCACGTGATATTATATATACACCCACCAACCCTGATATCTGATATCTGGCAGTTAACTTTCAATTTAATACAATCGCTATATATACACGAAATGTCACTAAAAAACCTCAATCCGAAAGAGTTTGACGGAATTCTAGCCACCGCTTCAAGCTCGCGTTCAGGTAAAAATCCAGCAATTCAAGAAACAAAATTTGCTACAGGGAAAAAAAATAAAAAAACACATTCAGTCCATGCTCTGAATGAGAGCTCTAGTAAAGTCGGCAGTAAAAAAAGAATGAGTAGACACTTGAATTCCTCGAAGGTATCTGAGGTTAAAGAAGGTTGTGAAATGAAATCGAGTAATGGTAAGTAAAGTAACACGATAAAATTATTTGGATTTTGTGCATATTTTTCCTATGCTACTTGCATGATTTCATCTTTTATCATTATCCTTAGAATACTTAAAAATTGCTGCTGGTGAAGAGTCATCTGGTTTTACTGCAGAATTTAATACCAAATCCGAGGATATTGCTCAAGGACTAAAAAGAAAAAATAACCAAGCGGATACTAAACCAAATAATAAGCGTTTTAAAGTATCAACACCAAAAATTGCACAGTCGGCATCGAATTCTACGGATTTTGGTCATCTGAAACAAAATCCATATGAGGATGATCAGGATGATCAGGATCATAATGATTCAAAAGAGGAGCTAGGCAATGAGATACGAAGCTCGTTAAAAGAGTTTAAGGAAGATCTGGGCAATGAAACACGAAACTTGTTAAAGGTTCAGGAAGATCTGAGAAAAGAAATACGAAACTCGTTAAAAGTTCAGGAAGATCTGATAAAAGAAATACAAAATTCGTTAAAAGAGTTTAAGGATGATCTGAGCAATGAAATACAAAAATTGTTAAAGGTTAAGAAAGGTCTGAAGAAAGAAATACGATCGTTAAAGGGATTTAAGGAAGATCTGAGGAAAGAAATTAAAGAAGAGTTTGCATGGGGATTGAATGAGATGAAAACAGAAATACGACCGTTGAAGGAATTTAAGGAAGATCTGAGGAAAGAAATTAAAGAAGAGTTTGCATGGGGATTGAATGAGATGAAAACAGAAATACGACCGTTGAAGGAATTTAAGGAAGATCTGAGGAAAGAAATTAAAGAAGAGTTTGCATGGGGATTGAATGAGATGAAAAAAGAACTGTTAGCCAATGTCTTAAAAGAGGGAAAAGGCGAAAAAGAGGGCAATGAAATACGAAACTCATTAAGGGAGTTTAAAGAAGAACTTAAGAAAGAGCTAAGAGAGGAGTTTGCAAGAGAATTAAATAGGATGAAAAAAGAACTCAATAATGACACAGAAATAAGTAAAACTGGTGGTGATGCTCATAATAATGAGAATACTGATAATGATGGTGATGATTCTAATAATATTGCTGATAATGACAATGATAGTAATAATGATAAGAATAATGAAGATGACAATGACGATAATGATGATGATAAAATTGTTAATAGTAATAATGATAAAAATGCCGAAGATGATTCTAATAATATTGATGATAATGACAATGATAGTAATAATGATAAGAATAATGAAGATGACAATGACGATAATAATGATGATGATAAAATTGTTGATAGTAATAATGATAAAAATGCCGAAGATGATTCTAATAATATTGGTGATAATGACAATGATAGTAATAATGATAAGAATAATGAAGATGACAATGACGATAATAATGATGATGATAAAATTGTTGATAGTAATAATGATAAAAATGCCGAAGATGACAATGAAAATAATATTGCTAATAACGATTCTAAGGATAATGGCAATGATAGTGAAAATAATAAGAAAAATGATGATAATGGCGAAAATGACAATGAGAATAATATTGATAAAATTATCGAAGATATAGAAATGGTAAGTATAGCAACAGAATTAACTTTAAATAAGCATATTACTAATCAAATTTATGTAAAGGAGACTGAGGAGATGCAAGATACAGAGGATACGGAAGATACGGAGGATATGGAAAATACGGAGGATATGGAAGAGGATAGGGAAAATACGGAGGATATGGAAGAGGATACGATCCACTCGACAGCAGAATCATCTTCCGAAGATGACGAGTCTTCGGAGGAAGATTCCAACTCGTCAACAGAGGAATCGGAGGACGATAGTTCATCCTCAGGCGTAAGTTTTAATAATAATCTTTTATCGTGAACTTTCTAAGTTAGTTTATTATCACTGTATTATCTAAACCTTTATATTTGAAGCGGTGCTCGCCACCATTGATACATCAAGATTATATACGCACGGAAAGAGTAGAAATTGCTGCTAAGCTGTTCAAAAGAATTGAACCACCACCGCCGATGTTTAAGGATCTTCCTGGAATTATAGAAGAGAGCAATCGGCAATGGGAGAAGAAGCAGAAACAAATAGAGGAAGATAAAATGGAGAGGTTGAGAGAGGCTGAGAGGAGACGTGAGAATTTCAGAACGGCGTCAGCGATGATTAGTGAGTTGTTTCCAGAGTCGTCAGACTCAGACTGAAGTGGTGTTTTGTTTGATTCATTTAAATTTTTCATTGTTATATTATGTATGGTTTCTTAAAATGAATTAAGTATCAGGAAATAAAAAAATAAAATTTTAATAACTCTTGAACAGGTTATACATGAAATCAATAGACGACGACGCTTTGATTGTTAAGTTGATGCAACATTCTAATAAATTAATTTTATTTAATCAAAATAATTCGCTATCTAAATTATTCCTCTTGATCCTTCAATATGGCTTTAAATGAAAAGGGTTCAAATTTCGTGCCACTGCCTTCGTAAAATTTATTATTAAACTCAACCCTAAATGATAGAAAATCACATTAACACGATTTCTATCCTGCATGTAATTTCTAGAAAAGGAATGATCCTCCTTACCAGTGTAGACGCAGAGCATGTAAAAACGCTGACAGTCCTTCCATCAGCAACAAAATCACAACAGTCAAAGTAAACCAGAGAGCAAAAGCAAGTACCAACGCAATGCCGCCAAATATACCAGTAAGTCCAAACACATTCTTCAAAGTCATATCCCATAACACAGCGGAAAGTTCTGGTTATTTTAAATTGATCATTTTGATCAGAAAAAGAATGTGGAAATTACGAAATCGTTATTATATTCAATAATTGAAGCTCACGTGCATGCGCCAAACTTAAAGCCCATAATCGTAAATAGCTTGCAGTGTTTGATATACATCCCAAGCAAAATTCAATGGTGTGTATAACTTGATGGATCATAATATCCCCAAAATCGAAATCTTCTTCCTCGTGCATCTCTTGCGCGACTACAGCACCTCCTGACTCTTCCTCTTCTGTTGACGAAGAGATTCGAGTGGAATCTGCTTGAGGGTGATGATAGCCAAGAGCTCGAATTTTATTGTGTTCTCGACGCATGATCAGTGGTTTTGCTAATAACATCCATGGGACACAGATTAGAGCAAGTAGAAGTAGGCTACCTTGTACGAATCCCTGAAGAAGAATCTGTTTAGTAACATCAGATTTAACTTAACTCAAAATCATTAAATATAGCATTTTCATACTTGTCCAGGATATAATTGATCGGCTGGAGCAACTTCTCCCGGTTGCAAGAACATAAAGATCAACATGTTTAATAATCCAGGGGGACTGTTGTGTATATGATTGCCATGCTCGTCAAGTTCATACCAGTTTACTGACCATTTATATATGATAGTAAATACCAGGTAACCGAAAATACTCTGCATGAACAGAAATTGAGGCAGAAATTCGGTCCATATGCTCAAAGTTTTTTTGAAGTAATTATAGTTGTATACTGTAAGAATAATACCAAAGCTCATCTAGAAGAATATCGCGCATGGAATGATTTAAATTCTCCATCATATTAATAAAATATCAATGCGTTTTTAAGTTTACCTGAATAACTCCCAAAATTATAGACATTTTCATTTTATATGAATTTGTGAATAATAAATGGTTATCGGATCCATGCCATGTCTGAGATGAATTTCCACGTATAAATTAGAATTTGTAAAAATCAAAAATGAATTCAGCAATAGTATAAATACTCACCGGATCAACACCAAAAGGATAAACTCCAACAGGATTGGCTTCTATAAGTTGACCTCTGGTATAATTCGTAAGATCCCACTCGAATCCAGGCTTCGCCAAGATCATACTTTGAGAAAATATATCATTATATATCAAACCGGTGTAAGTAGAGAATAGGCCCATTAACAGAATAATGTAACGACCACCGAAAAACATATCAAAGATCTATAAAAAATTAAGCGCTTGAAATTTTTTAATTAATAAAAATAAATAAATAAATTCAAAATACCTCTCCTAAACCATCTCTTTCGAATTTTTTCTCGTTTAATATTAGAAATGCGGCTGCAATAGTAACAAGCACTCCATGCCCAAAATCTCCAAACATTACAGCGAAAAGAAACGGAAATGTTATAATGGTAAATAATCCCGGATTAACTTCTCGATATTTAGCGACGCCATAGGCGTCAACAATTTCTTGAAATCCAACAGTAACTTTGTTAATACGATGAAAAGTCGGTGGTTCTCTGGTGGTTCTTATTTCATCAACAATAGATGGAATCATAGAACCATAGGTTTCCTTTTTTTTAAAAGAAAAAATATTCAAAAAGATACAAAACTCAGATCAAGGAAATAAATCATACATAATAAAGAAAATGACATACTGTAGCAGTTCTAAGAGCCTGTTGAATTTGATTGAGATCATTACTGGGACACCAGCCTTCAGCAATCAAGCATTTACGATTTACATCATAATTAAATAAATTCATGGTATGAAACACCGTTTTCTCTTTTTTAATGATAGTTATCCAAGCGGATAAATTTTCTGCTATCTTTTGAAGTTCCTGTCTTCGTGCATTGTTGGTATTCTGAAGGACAAGATTCAAATCATCTATTTTGGTAGTGACTTCTGACAAATCAGCTCGTCTTTGATCAGCGTTGTCATCTACTTGATAAAGTGTAGCGCCTAAGGATTCAGAAATTTTCCTTATTTTGCTAATGATTTCTTGACCGTGAGCAAAAATAGTGAAAACATTCTTCTCTAATATTTCATCCGATATGGGGTCAATGATGGGTTCCTCAATCTCCGCATATTTAAGATATAGATTTCCACGTAAAGCGCGCCAAAGTATACGCTCAAATATTTGCATCTTACTACGAGGAATAACTCCTGTGACAAATCTTTATGTATTGAATATTCATTTAATATTAGTTAATGTATAATATATCTTACAGCACTAACAAACTTACCCAAGATTCAATGGAACATCCCCTGGAGGACCACCATGTTCAAGATCAGTTTGCTCAAGTAAAGGTACAGTTGGTTCATCATAAGAATATCTTCTTGTATCTTGGCGTGCTCCGGCCTAAATATAAATAAATAGATCTTAAAGCTTTTAAAAAATTTCTTAATCCATCATACAAATTTTAATATATTAAAAATAACCTGTCTAAAGAAAACATCAGTTTCTCTCAATACATGTCGAGCTTCTGTATACTCCAAATATTTTTTTTGTAAATTTTCATGTGCTGTGTTCATCTCCGTTATACGTCGTTCGTGTCCAACTATTTTTTCCTCTAACTCATCAATTTCTTGTGCATTCCGAGCACGAGCACCATCACCAGCAAGTGGGCGTATCGGTATGTCAGATTTTTCGATGTGTGTTGTAAAGAAGCCTGTTGGCAATTAACTCGAAAATTCAGTATTATTTTACAGATAATTATTAGACCCATTCAAAGAAAACATATCCAATTTTCGATAAAAAACAATATGATTTTAGAATAATTATTGGTTGGCTTAGTTGTTAGGATGCAGTTTAATGCTATCAAAATAGCTTTTAAATTGCTAAGATTCTTTTTATTCATTAAAAAGACTATAAATACAGAGACAAGTTAACTGTAATATTACAACTTACGAAGATGCCGTTCCATTTCATCAAACCTTCTAATTTCTTTGACAAATGCGCGTTGAAAAGCATTTACATCAGGATTTAGCTTTTTGAAAGCAATATAAAATATTTAATAGAAACTTCAATAAAAATTAAACTTTTTATTGGCAACACTAGGTTGATTAAGATTTGAGACATACATCTCTGAATTGAATTAAGCCTAATTCGCCTAATTCAGCGACTGTCGGTTGAGCAATCTCGGAAGGAATGAACAGCTGGATAAGGGACATTTCGTCCGATCTGAAAAGACTTGAGTAATACATCTTGAATTTGTAATTCTAAGCAGTGAGGCTAGGAGGATAGAATCGCCAACACTCTTTATTAAAGACTAGATATCAGAACAAACACGATAGATAATCGATTGATCATATGATTTATATAATATAAAAGCTAATGATGGAATTGGTAAAATAAAATGCAAAATCCTATTCAACTTCCTGTTGTTGACCTTTCTCCCTTGCTGGATTATGTACCTTCTGCTACAAAGTCGGCATCGAGAATTGCCTTTGAACTACAGAATGCCTGCATGAGTCATGGAGCTTTTTACGTTACATGCTCCTCTTTCAGCCGCGATTCTGAATTGAAAATTTTAGATAGTACACGTCGATTTTTCAATTTACCTGAATCTGTAAAGTCTAATATATCAATAAAATCTGGCGGGTTTACGCGAGGTTACATAGCTATGGGTGTTGAATCAGGCTCCCATCGAGTTGAGTCCAAGGAAGCCCTCTCATACGGATATGAATGGAACCCCTCGGATAAACCTAGCAATTCATTACAAGGGCCAAATGAATGGGATAATCTTGATGAGATTTTAGGGCCAGAATGGCGAAAAAGTTTGAATGAGTTTTATTCACAGATGGTGTTTTTGGCTAAATTATTAGTGAAAGGTTTAGAGATAGCACTCCATCTCGAGCTTCAAAGTTATTGTACTGGTGGTGAAACTATTTCGCTTATGAGATTATTTCACTATTTTCCATATTCTAATGAGCAGAATGAAGTTGAAGCCATTGGAAGTTCACCGCATACCGGTTTGTAATAGCATTATTATTGATTGTTATGATATCGCTTTGTGATGATTATTACTGATGTTTATCATTGAAATTCAAAGATTGGGGATTTTTGACTCTTTTGCTTCAACCAGATAATGTGAAGGGACTTCAAATATTTTATGATAATGAATGGAGGGATATAGCAAGTAAACCCGGACATATTGTAGTGAACTGTGGTGATTATCTTTCTTTAATAACTAAAGGATCTTTTATTTCCCCTTTACATCGAGTAATAAGTGATGGCGCGAATGAGAGATATTCGATGGTCTTTTTTTACTATCCAAAATACGATGCGCATATTCCGGTCATTGATGTAAGAGATCCGAAAATACATAATTTGAGCATATTTAAAGATCAAAAATATGATAAAGATGACAAAAGAAACGAGCAGAAACAAGAAATGAGTTCTAATATTGATGGTGTTTGCTTTGGTGAATACATTGCGCGTAAATGGGATCAAGTATATCGGGGATAAATAAATAATTATTTGTATTTTATATATAATTTTAATTAAAAAATGAAAAAGTAATAAGGTTGTAAATTCCAATTGTTTATTCACAAAAGGGATTAATTAAATTGAGGAAATAAACAATACCACGAACACACATTATTAGCTTAAAAAAACAATGGCAATTAATAATGGATAATAATCAATTCAAAGTATAAGTATATTTATGTATAACATATTATTTGGGGGGGGGGAAGAGAGAGAGAGAGAGAGAGAGAGGGTCAAATACATACAATAGATAGCGAGAGAGGGATCGTCGGATTAAATAAGAAAGAAAAACTCTAGGGAAATTTTGAACCAAGTTGATGAGGATGATGTGAGAGTTATCGATAGTGGTGAAAATAAAGATTCAAAAAATCAAAGATTTATTTTTTTTCCTTTTTTTTCTTCCTCCTTTGATTCTTTTGATTCGTCTGATATAATAGGAGTTTCACTTGCTTCAGCAGTAGTTTCAGTTTTCCTTGAAAGTTCAACGTTTATCTTTTGAACTTCGATGAATTTTTCTTTGAAAATATTAGCGTCTAGAAAAATGTCATCGTTACTATTAATTATTATTACTTGTGATATGTTATCTATTTACCATTATTACGAGATACGTACTTTCAGTATTGGCAAATCTAATGGCCAAAGTTTCTGCCTTTGATTCTCCATCAGACACATCGGCAGTAACGTTCCAAACCCAAGAACGATCAGATCCGACATTGGGTGAAAGTGCCATTTCAGATGTGACTAATAATAAACAAAAATCATAAAACAAGCAAATACAAAACAAATAAATCAACAGCGAATTAATCGAATCTTTACTGTAATGATTTGCACAAACTTTGTGCGTTTTGTCTCTTCGCATCAGCAAACGAACTTTACGAGATTGTTTATGTTGAAGAAAGCGAACTTCACCGGTACCGCGTTCTTTCCATTCCTTCAAAGGTTTGTCAAATCGAAACAACTTTGCACGCCTGTTTATAGTTTAGCAAATGATCAATAGTAGTAAAGTAATACGAATTATTATTTAGATAAAGAAATCGAATTAGTTCATGTCTGAAGGCTCGTAGAGTAAAGGATGAGATTAAATATTTATCCTTTGCTGATATTTCTCCAAGTTTTTCTTCAACAGATTAGCAAACTTGTAGTCTATCATCCTTTGCTTATCTTTACAAAATGGTTAGAAATACAAGTGAAAGACTGTTGTTATGTGTAATTGAGCAATTGTTCCCCGAAAATGTATTATATATACTTTATGTGAATATTATTTTATTAATCAAGTCTGATCGAGATAATGTAAAACACTAACATTTTGAATATCGGTTCTTCATCCTCTTCATGTGTTTTAACTTCAATTTCCTCCAATTTGACAACAGGTTCAAAGTGGATGTCAACAGAGTCTACGACCTCTTCCTACAATTCCCAGAAACATCATTTGTTATTAACATTTATGATTTCAAATGCTCGATATTGTGCAACATCGAAGCTTGAATGAAATTCATGTTTTGATACAAATTGTGACGCAAATAGAATAATGACCTTTTCTTCTTCTGCCCCTTTTGACGACTCTGCAACCTCGGGCTTGCTTTCAATGTCAGCCATCTTTTAACAGTGAGAATTAAAAAAGATAGTCGAATTTTCGGATCAAAGGGAAAGGTAGTTCTGTGACTATCTTTGCGTTACATTAAAAATCCTACTCTATCCATTATATCCGATTTTTCCATCTTTCACGTGCGCCTATTGAAAAAAAATTAGATTCGTTTCTTGAATGATTAAACTAACGTATATTGCACGCTTTAAACCCTCATCATTATTATTCGCTGGAAAAATCAATACAAACTTCCGTCCCCTCAGGAAAAAAGCTCTTAGCTTAGACCTCAAAAGAGTTTCCACCGTCGCCTCTATTACTAATATGTCAGAATATAGGACACGAATTGTCGGGGCACCCAACACCTTGGATCACCGAGTTTTCATTGGTATGCATAAATTACAATCAATAATACAATTGTGAATACAATATGAATGTATTGTTATTACGAAATTCCAGAGAGAGATGGACAAGTGATTTCTGCGTTTCATGACATTCCTCTTTTCGCAAATGATTCCAAGACGATTTTGAACTTTGTGGTTGAAATCCCTCGATGGACGAATGCGAAAATGGAGGTAATTTCAAATTTTTTACTATATAATAAAAACAAATCATGCATAAAAAAGAATTGGCATAACATAATGGTTTATTAGTCTTATTACCAATTTAATATTTGAATTCTCAAAAGATTTCCAAAGAGGAAGCATTTAATCCCATCAAACAGGATGTCAAAAAAGGTAAACTTCGCTTTGTTCGTAACTGCTTCCCGCATCATGGATACATTTGGAATTATGGTGCTTTTCCGCAGGTTTGCTTTTTTCGTTTCGTATTCTTATTCGATTCAATTCAATTCACTATATTAATAATTGATTATACTTGAATAACAATAGACTTGGGAGGATCCTACTGTAATGCACCCAGAAACAAGAGCCAAAGGTGATAATGATCCGGTCGATGTTTGTGAAATTGGGGAACAAGTTGGTTTCACTGGCCAAATTAAACAGGTTAAAGTATTGGGAATTATGGCTCTCTTAGATGAAGGTACTTTTTTAATTTTTAGAATAATTTTTATCAATATGATATGATATTGAGCTTGATCTTGATCTTGATATTGATATTATCTTAATTTTAATATTGAATTCAAGGTGAAACTGATTGGAAGGTTATTGTCATTGATGTAAATGATCCCTTGGCAAACAAATTGAATGGTCAGTATAACTTATCATTATGATTATTTCTTCTACTAGTCAAATTTTCCGTAAATATATAAATAAATAACAGATATCGAGGATGTCGAAAGACATTTGCCTGGGCTTATTCGTGCAACAAATGAATGGTTCCGTATTTATAAAATTCCCGATGGTAAACCTGAAAATCAATTTGCTTTCGGCGGCGAGGCTAAAAATAAGGTAAGAAACATCCGATTTATTATTTGATTGATTTATCTAGTAGTTTATTATTAATTCAAAAATTATAATATAATATAATAATATTTAGAGATACGCTACTGAAATAATTCATGAAACTCACGAAGCATGGCGTCGGCTTATTATCGGAAATATTCCGGCGAAAACAGATAAATACGAACTTAGCGTGTAAGCGTCATTTTTCTCTTATTTATTGATTATTATTCTTAAAATACGAAAAATAGCAAATATTTTTTTTAATTTTTTTAGTGCAAATCTCACAGTTGACACTAGCCCTGGTAGGATTACCGCTGATGATTCGTTGTATAAATCTATTCCTATTGATTCAAGGCAATCACCAGCACCTATCGATCCATCAAGTACGTAAAAATCAATGTTTTCTCATTATATCTACCTAATTTCATCTGATCTGATATAATAATCCTTTTACTTCTTAGTTGACAAGTGGTTTTTTATTTCTGGAACATCCAATTTGTAATAACAAGAAAGGTCATAGATAGAAATTCGTTATTGATTTTAATCATTTATTATTATTATTATTATTATTATTATTATTTGTTTGAAATTTAAGATAATATTTATAATAATATTTCAATTCTTTTTGCTTACTTGCAAATCTCATTGCTTTGAATGAATAAAATTTAATTTTTGGATCCTGACCCAGATGCAGTAGTTGTTGCACCCACATTTTCACCTCCTGTGGTTGATGAAGCAGTCACAGTAACTCCTTCAGGAACCTTTAGAATATTATTCAAGTCAAAATTAAGTTCTACGTACCACTAATTCAAAGAAGTATTAATAATACCTTGTTAGCATGACTTTCTCTTCGTAACTCCTTAATAACTGCCTATTAAATATATATATCAAAATTAAAATAAAGTTAAACTTGTGTAAGCAATTTATTCGTTTGAAATATTTCACTTAACAGCCAGTGCCTCTGGATTTACTCCCCCCTCACAAAGTTGAACACATAGAGATATTGTCTCGCGATCAATATTAGCATTTAAGATTGTGGCAATTTCGTGGAGAACTTTAAAAAAGCTCACATTAGCATCCAAATGATTAGGCAATTAGAAATTGACAAATTTGATATAAACTTTATAATAAAAAATAAAATCCACCATCCAGTGTTTCTCGCGCTTCTTGAATTTTAGGATTCTCCATCTTTGTGTATTATTTCGAAGAAATAACGTTTTTTATATCAAATTCATGTGTCGAAATTCATGTCAGCCAATCAATTGTTGATATATAATATGATTAACTTGAACTAAATTTTTCCTGTTCCAAACACTTCCATGTCACTCTCTTCATTCGTACTTGGTCCGCCTCCAGCTTCCTGGACTAACGATGCAAATTTTCGTGTCCACACTGGAATATCAGGCAATTCTAGGCTCATTTTATAAAAATATAAACATGTTCTAAGAGTCACGCTCATGTTTTGCCTTTTGAAAATTTGACAGAATGTATAGTTAGAAAAATCGAACCCGTTGGTCGTCATTTTCTCGGCCATGCGCGCCGGAAATTGCATAACCACTCTTTTACAGAAGACCAGCGCATTCAGGCTGAAAAAGAGACAGACAAAACACAAGATTCTGTCCTAGAGGATTCTGAAGAGGAAACTACCGAGTTGCTTTCAAGAGACCCGAAAGATTGGAAGGTAAAGCATTGCATTATCAAATGAGACCCGAATTCATGTTTGATTGATCTTTTAATGATTAAAATTGGATGTGAATAGGATCAGGATCATTATGCTGTTCTAGGACTTTCTAAATATAGATGGCGAGCGACCGAGGAGCAAATAAAGCTAGCTCGTAAGTTTCTTATACCTTTTTCCGCTTACGATGTATTTCCACTACTCATTATATTTCAATGATAGATAGGAAGAAAGTTCTTAAACATCATCCTGATAAAAAAGCTTCTAGCGGTAATATGAACGACGATGCTTTCTTTAAATGTATCCAAAAAGGTATATATAATCGATTGAAACTGTTTTTCAAAAAATCTCTTATAGTATATACCTTTCTTATTAACTTGCTTTTAGCACATGAGATTCTATCTGATCCTGTTAAACGGCGACAATATGATTCCGTCGATTCGGAAATCGATGATTCTCCGCCCAGTCTAAAAATCAGAGGGGACTTTTTTGAGATATATGGTCCGGTCTTTGAACGTGAAGCTAGGTATAAAGCTTGCGATTAACTAGATTGATTACTGTTGATCAATCTTTATGCTAAAATTATCTTCTTTAGATTTTCTAACAAGACACCTGTGCCATTATTGGGTGACATTAATACTAACAAAGAAGAATTAGAGGCATTTTATGACTTTTGGTAAGTTCGAATTTTATTTTGTAATTTTTTCCGAAAAATTATTCTCTAAAAATCATTATCTAGGTATAAATTTGACTCGTGGCGATCGTTCGAATATTTGGACAAAGAGGATGCTGATAGCACTGACAAGTATATTGCTTGCTGTTGATTAAATTATAATTATAAAAACCCATGTTTATTCATGCGACCATCTGTGACATATTTAGCCGTGATGATAAACGTTATCTTGAGAAGAAAAATAAAGCGGAGCGAGCAAGGCTTAAAAAAGAAGATAACGCGAGACTTCGAAAAATAGTCGGTACGTTAGTTGTTTATTTCACAGATCTAAGAGTCCCCACATAATAATAACGAATCCGTGAAATAGATAATGCGCTAAGTTCAGATCCTCGTATACAAAAATATAAAAAAGAAGAGAAAGCAGCAAAAGAAGCAAAAAAGCGAGAAAAGGAAGAGGCAGCTAAACGCGCTGAGGAAGAAGCAAAAAAGGTAGAATTTGATCTAATGAGGTTAAATTTATTCGTGGTCATATCCATTTATATTGTCAAGGCTAAAACTTATAGAGATTGGGTTATTTGTTAACATAAATCTATCTTTCTGTTGACGTGTCTTGATAAATTTTTACATTACAAACAAGCATCCATAAAGGCTAGAACGTGCACGCATGAGCAGAATTATCATTATTTATTCTACATTAAGATAATAACAACACTAAATAAATCTATTATTATCATATAGGCGGCCGAAGAAGAGAAGAAGAGACAAGAGGAAGCTGAAGCTGAAGCAAAGCAAAAAGTGAGATTCTTGACGACGCCTGCTAATTTCAAATAGCCATAATTAATGCATCTTTATCATAATTGATAGCAACTTGAAGAAAAGAAAGGAAAAGCGGTAAAGAAAAAAGCACTGCGTAATGAGCGCAAGAATATCAAAAATTTTCTGAAGGTAAAAATAATAAGAACTAATAATAAACGACATTTGCTCAATTCGGACTTAAAATACAGAGAATTTTCTATTAGGAACAAAATTACTTTTATCCCAATAATGAAAATCCACCGGTGGATGTAATTGACGTCCAGCTTTCTGAATTAGAAGCTTTACTTGAAAATATGAGTGTTGAAGAGCTACAACACCTAAAAAACCAATTAACCGATGCAAAAAACAAAAGTGACGCTAAAAACATTCTCAAAAGAGAGGCAAAAAGGCTTTTGAAATCGGGAATTCTCGCAGCTGACGTTATCAAATATTTCGTTATTGGTATACGCGTTTTTATTTTCGTTTTTTATTTTCATTAAATATCTTTTCTCAATTATACTTTATAATCATTTCGTGCAGAGGAAGAATCGACAAGCAGCGAACCCATTAATGAAAAGGTGGACATTAATAAGCAAGAACAAATAAAGCAAGAGAACCAGGAAAATAAAGAATCGAAAGAAATAAGAGAATGGTCGGTTGAAGAGATTTCATTATTAATTAAGGCGGCAAATAAATTTCCTGGAGGGACATTGAATAGGTGAAATAGCTGCTGCTGGCTTTATGATTACTACTAATAGGAGAACCAAAGTTGGAAAAACACTAATGTACGTAAAACACTGCAAAAATGCTGCGTAGATGGGAGACTATAAGTGAATATGTAGCTTATCATGCCAGATTACCTCCACGGAATAACGAAGAACTGATTCAAAAATCTAAGGACGTAAAAAAAGGTAGATATTTTTTTTTATGTCCTCATTTGCAATGATATATTTTGTCGAGTGAGATAGTAACGATACAGCTTTTATTATTCCGTCTAATATTGGCATTTTTAGGCACAATTGCATTAGATGAAGAGGCAGTGCGAAAATTGCAACATCAAAAGAAGCATGCTGATACTCGGATAACCGAAGACCCTTCAATACGAGAAGCGACCATTAATTACGATGATCCAATATTATTAGCAACCGAAAATAAATCAAATCCTTCCAAATCAAAAACATCAAAGAAAAAATCGAAAACCAGAACTATCGATAATACTTCTACTTCAACGAACTCATCTACACCCACATCAACTGATACAATAACAAAGTCTACATACATAGGGAATGATTTGATCAAAAAAAATCAAGTCACCAAAGAAAACGGGACAGGTTCAGCAACCAAACCCGAAGATTTAACTGAAATTACATCTACACCTACTACCAATAACACTTCAGCAACAACATGGACTGCGGAACAGCAAGCTCAATTAGAGCGAGCCCTCCAGGCATATCCACCCAGTTGGAAAGGAAATGGGGATCGATGGGATAATATAACTAATGCTGTAGAGGGCAAAACGAAGAAAGAATGCAAATTACGTGTCAAGGTATGTCAAAAAGTCAATTTAAATTTGATGTATGAGATCAATCGTCGCAGGATCGTATAGGTAAATCCACTCGAGCGAGAACTTATTGATTGGATCTCTCTAATATGTATTGAGCCAATCAATCAAGAAATTTCAGGTTAATTTGCAGTTTCGAGAGTTGTCTAAACTCTATTCTATAGAGACAGGACATGTTTCTATAAAAAGGATTGTACAACTCCTAAACGATCCTGAACGAGTATAGTTCTGTATGCATAATGTTCAAAATAATAGCTCGATTTTTTGGGTCTTACTTACAAACCTGTTCTTTATAGTATCTGGTCGAACAAGTAAAGGCGAAAAAAGCCGCATCTGGCGGAAAATAACTATTTATCATGCATGCATAACGTAAGTAATTCACACGGTCACGTCTCGACTTGTTCTGTAATGATGTTTTTTATAAATATAGAGATGAGATTATTTAAGAAAAACAAAAGAAACCTCTTTCTCATTATTTTCTCATAGAGCTTTTGTCTATGCTTGAGTTCTTTTTTTATGCTATTCCACAAAGAAAATAATTCACATGTAGTCATTGGGCGTAAAATTTAGCTTATCTGCAAACCTGCAATATCTCATGCTAACGATTCATTTACAAACTAATAATAATAATATATATATATATAATAATGATAATAATAAATCGTATAGATCATTAATTTTTTTCTCTCACTTTACGAAGCTAAAAATAATTCATTACGACATATTCGAAGGCATAACATGATGTTCAATTACTTTAAGATAACAGATAAGAAACCGTATATTTCCGTATTTTCGTGAAAGTGTCCTTGTATGAACGATTCATTTTTTGTGCAACATTGTCACGCGACGATTTGATAATCGTCTTTAAATATTGTCGTGCGACCATCGTGCGACACGTTAATACAGTTGAATGACATTCGTGTGACATTGAATTTCTTCTCAATTAAAAAAATTTACCCCTGTCTGTTCGCTTCAAGTTTTATTGCATTGATTGGGCTGGGCAATTGATTGAGACACTTGCACGATCCTCATTGGATTGTTTGACGTCAGGATAAGGTCACACAGGGGGTTAAAACGCCAAAATTAGTAATATTTTTGTCGATATTGGGGCTATTGCATACTTGTTGGGGCAATTGCATAATGTTGGGCGAATGTTGTGATACCTTTGTGCAAGGTTGAGACTTGTTTGCCCAATAATTTTTGTAGTACAACACGAGATTCTGCGCGATTTTTTTGTTGCAGGGGTCGTTTATCACACTCATCATCATAGTATCAATTAGTATTGTAATAATAATAATAATAATAGACGATTGATTTATAAAATATTTCTTTGGCGGAGTATCAAAATTTACTTTATTACAGGTTTTGTATAAAAGGATGGGTAATTCCTTTTCTTTTACCTCAAAAAAATTTCTTTGTGATTAAACCACAAAAATTCTATCTATCAAAATTGATATAATTCGTATCCGAAGATTAAATTTTCCCTTTATAAAAAGCTAAAAGCGAAAAACAGGCAAGTTTTATAATAATAATAGATAGTAAAATTCGCAAAAGGCAATATTTTTATTTTGTGGGTAAATTCAAGTCTGAGTGGAAAATGTTTCAAAAAAAAAAAACATTTGTAAACAGAATAGTTAAAATTTTTGTAAGAAAACACGAAATAAAAGCATTTTCTCGTTTCACAAGTTAAATTTTGGTGTAATTTCTACCGAGTCTTTGGGGTGATCTACACACGTGATACTAATAACATCAAATTTTCCAGCAGACGAATGTTTGCCGGAATGCAGTCTCATGGAAATTTTGGTGGTGTCAACTCTCATAACTCGCATACTAATATAGCACAGATTTCGCAACCAGATGATCAACAACAACAACAACAACAACAACAACAACGACAACAACCACCACCACCACCACCACATTCTATATTAGGTCTACAACAGCAACAATTAGTGAATAGCACGACCCATCCACCAGCTGATGTTGCCTTGAATAATAATAATCATAGTAATCAATCTAAATCTAGTAAAAGACGACGGAGTACAGTACCAAACCAGTCTACCTCTATGCCAACTAATAATATTAATAGGCCACCCATTGCCCCACGAACACACACACTACAATCCACACAGCAACAGCAGCAGCAACAACAGAGAACCTTTGTCATGCCACATTTATCTGCGAATCAGCAGCTAATCGCGTTGCAACAACAGCCACAACAGCAACATACATATTCATCTCCACAAATGCACATGGCATTAATTCAGGTTAGTTACTATATAAATGTTTCAATTTATTCATTCATAAAACTAATAATATATAATGTTTAAAAGCAGCAGCAACAACAAATTTCACAGGCAATGGGAATTTCGCGACCTAATAATATAATACCGAGTAATTATACGCAAATAGCATCAAGTAACATCGCATCACAGGGACAAAACTATCATCGTAAGTGTTTAAATCCAATTTATTTATCTTTCCTGGAAAAAAATATATAGATATTTTGTTAATCTTTTGATTAATAATTGGTGAAGCATGAGATCATGATTAAATAGCCAGCCTTATCATAATCAATCCACCGCTCAATCAATGCTTGGTTGAAGAAGCATGCATCTCTCTAATTAATCCTCATCATTTTAATCATAATCACATTCATTAGAAGCCTACAATCAAGCTCCAGCTAATATGCTGCAATTCCTTCCACATCAACCACTGTTGCAGCCCCAACAATTTCATCAACTCACTCTTCAACAACAACAACAGCAGCAGCAACAACAAGAAGCACTAAATCTGAATGCTATGATGCAACAACAACAACAACAACAACAACAACAACAACAACAACAACACTTCAATGTTCAAGCATTGCAGCAGCAACAGTTTCAGCAACAAGCTATACAACAACAACAGCAGCAGCAGCAACAACAGCCGCAGCAACCACAACAAGATGCTACTGAACGACCTGAAACTTTTGATGAGGTTGTTGAGAAAAATAACGGAATTCTAATAAGTATGCAATCCGAATTCCAATCAAAAGCCAGTTTTGCTGATGCGTGCAGTCGATTAGCGGATTGGTTGTCGGATGACCGAGCATACGTGGAGCAACAGCAGGACAATATCTACAAATGCTTAAAGGTAAATTCCATAACCTATTATTCATTATTAACAGTGTTATGTATTTTCCGAATAATCTTTATTAATAATGTTAATCTTTTTTCTGAATAAATAAAAGCTGGTGAAAGATTATATAGCTTACGATTTGGAGGCTGGGTTCCAAGTATATGTCCAAGTGCAAAAATTTGTTAACATGTTCAAAAACGAAGCTTACAAAAGTACGTGTTGATTCTTGTAATCTTTAACGAATGATGATTTCTTACTATTCATTTCTATTCACGTCATAGGGGAGATATTGCACTCATTCAGTTATGCTCGTCCCTCTGATCCAATGAATATTAGCACCAATTCTCCGAATTTATCCGTTCAAACTGTCAATATTCATTCTTTACCCACACAAAATGTGATTAGTAATCATCATCATCATCACCACCACCATAATCACCAAAATATTCATCAATCTACGGACAGAAGCGGCTCGAGAAGTCGAGCAAATTCTATTCGGCATCAACAAACCAATCCACAGCAACAACAAATTGTTCGTAAACCGCCACCAAATCCCAATAACCACAATGGTGGTCACGTGCCTAATAGCAATATTCCACCAGGAAATGAACCCATATTTCAACGGATAGATCCAGATGCACGACATATTCATTGGAGATTAGAACACAAACAGAACTTCAGTGATGCAGAAATTCGGCACAGACAGAGCTTCAGCGATAAGGAAATAATATTATCAGCTCGCGATCTAAGCAGAATCTATAGGTAATTAATAATATTAGCATTGTGTATATTAGAGTATTATCTTCTAATAAAGTAAATTGACATAGGCAAGAGAATCCAATTATCCCGACGATCACCACGGAACAAAGAGATCTTCCTCTTGCTATTCGACTTATATGTCGGAAAACGAATCGTCACGATGAGGACAAATGTGAATGGCCAGAAGGATTATCACTTTTCCTTGACAATCATCTTTTGCCTTTTGAAAAGGTAATTTCTTATGTCAATGATTTATATTTATTGATCATCAAATTTATATATTTTTATTTCTTCATTAATCGTCAAAATATAATTTCCAGCGAGTTAAACAAATGGTAAATGGTCGAAATGATCAGTTTGTCTATAATGGAATAGACCGGCCGCTGGACATAAGCCCTTGGATTCGAAATACACATCACACGCTAAGGATAAGCGTGCCCGGTAATGCATGTTGCTGCGTAAGTGAACTCTTAGATAATAATATACTTGAACGTCTTTTATCATCCGTTTTCGAAATACGTTCCATGTTGATGATCACCAAATAAACCCTTCAAATTAGACCACACAGCAATATGGCGGAGGCCTAGAGTGTCGTAGTGTAGTGTTTCCCCCTTTTCAATTTTGTGTACCATTTCTTATCTGAGACATCCAACAATATTCTTATCGACGCGATTTTCTTTATTAATCCTTGTTTTAATAGAATTATCGATTCTCTGTCGAATATCTATTACGTGAAACTCGGGATGTTGTATTATACAATGCCCGGCGAAATACAATTCCTATGGAAGACGGAATAAAAGTTGGTGTGTATCATTTATTATAATTATAGAATTTAGTTTTGGAAAAAAATTTATAATGGTTTCTATTCTTCTTTTCACTAGTTAACCGACTTGTTTCCGGTAATAACAGCACTAATAACGATGATGTTATGATAGTGCAAACTGTGGTGAAGGTTTGCATGAAATGTCCTCTCACCTTAACGAGAATAAAAGAACCCGTTAAAGGAGTCGACTGTCGCCATGTGGCGGTATGTATCGTTTGTTATACCAGTCCTTTTTTCATTCGTAGTGTGTAATCTAATTCAATATTCACGTAGTGCTTTGATCTTATGTCGTATGTTGAGGTGAATCGAGTAAAGCAGACATGGAACTGTCCTGAATTTGGATGCCGGTAAATTTTTTTTGCTATTTTTTTTTTTACTATTTTAAATTAAATTCATGGTAAATTTATCATTCATTCAATTATAAATTAGTAATAAAGTTACAGCAGACAAATTACGCACTGATCTCTTTTTTAAGAGATTGTTGGATGAAGTTCCTCAGTAAGTAATTGTGTGTGACCTTTAACTTGAAGGATATTTCACTAACACGTACTCTTTCTGATAATTCTTTAGGGATGTGACAATGATCGAGCTAGGACTGGATGGATTGTGGAAACCGATATCAGATGGGTCCAACGATGACGACACTGATTCAGAACGTCACGTAAAAAAAACAAAACCAGCACCACGAAATGAACCTAACAATCAAGAAGTGATCGTGCTGGATGATAGTGATGATGACGACAACCAAGAGCAACAGCAATCCTTTAATGATACCCCAATAAATCGAAGATCAGAAATCTCAATACCACAGCCAAAATTTCCGAGACCACCGACAGCAACACCGGTGGAGAGCAATAATTTAATATCATCACCTACAATCGAAAAATCAAATACCCCTTCTCCACCACTTCCGCTCACACCAATGGACCATCGCATAATGAATCTACCACCGATTATTACACCAAATCATCAAATAACGACGAAAAATGATTTTGTTGTTGATGATTCGAGTCGTAGATTAGTGGATTCATTAAATAACGATGACTTAAGTAAAACAATAAATAATGGTAAGTCATTCCGGTCTATTATATACTACTATTTAATAGAATTAATACTAAGTAATATATCTTGAAATAATTAGCCAAGGAAAATAATGTGAATAAAAACAGCAACAACAGTAACATTAAAAAACAAGAAACGAGACTCACTTCAGCTAGACTTCCTGCTGACATTAATTCAACGAACTATGTCGATGATGGAAGCTTGACCGAAGAGGAGGAGGAGGAAGTAATGGATTCTGGAAGGGTGACTATGAAGTGATCGGAAAAAAAATATTTCATTTTTGCGTATACATCACACATACACATACACACATACACACATACACACATACACACATACACACATACACACATAAACACATATACACACATAAACACATATACACACATACACACACATATACACACATATATATAAAAATACATTCCCTTTCCCTCTCGTCTTTGTAAATTTCCCCTTTACACACTAAAACACATATTTCCTTTTTGTATATTCAAATTTTCATCATTCGAGTTTTTTTTAATGAATCGATTCAATTTCTTATCGATCAATTAGTTATAGTAATTGCTGTTGTTGTATTTCCCGATCGTCTGGTTGTGATACACAATTTTTTGTTAAAAGTCATCAGTAAAATCATTTGCATCATGAAATAATAAAAGCGTCGTTGTTGAACGATAATAACAATTGCCATAGCTATTACAATTATTATTATTATTATTAATTATTACTCTTATATTAATTATATAAATATTCTAATTATTTTCACATAGGCGAGACGACTCAAATAACCTTTGTAAACATTAATAGTAATAATTAACGAATTTCTTCTAGTGTTGGTGATGATGCTCCATAAGTCACTGGTAACCCTAACAAGGTAGGTGTGAACTTTTTATTAGTGTCAAGGTAACCACAAGTTAGTGTGATTGAGCGTTTTAGTTGTTGAATGAGAATCTGCGTTTCATTTTGATCCTAAGAATATGATATGTTAATTTGGATACATTATAATGATTATAAATAATATAATTATTACCGTTAATATGGTGTAGAAAATTGGAATATTTGGATAATTCTCTTTGAAAAATTCTTCAAGCTCCGATCTGTCAAATGTATATTGTGTGATTTTACCTACTACGTAAAATTTCTGAATTTAATCAATTTTCCCTTGCAACAATTCATCAATTCTTAATATATACATACCTTCAGTGACTATTACACAACATCTTTCGAGAAAATATTCCTCGTGTAACCTCAACATTGACTCTTTTAACTGATGAAAAGCGGCAATTCCTTGCGTCATAGAGATCATAAAGATCACATAATCTATACGTGGTCGATCATATGACGACGACGGTAAAGGAAGAGACTCGACTGTACGTCTAAGAAAAAATAATATAATTCAGTTATTCATTCGACAGTCAAATTATTAGAAGGCACAAATCGATGATAACAGACACGCTCAATTTTATATCTTTTTCATTACTAGCTTCATATTTTGTTAATTGATTGATTTCCTCGTCTTGGATTATCTTTTGTTGTTGTGAATTCACCAAATGTTGAGCGAGAACGCGTTTTCCAACCCCATCAACGCCAATAACCTTTGATAATCAAAAAATTATATGGGATTCTTATTATTTTTGACGCGCGTATTAATAGTATCACAAGACGACGGATGATCAAAATGAAAAAAAAGAGTTACTAAAATTGTTGCGTTTTTTTCAATGTTACATGAGGGAAGTTTACTGAATAAGTATGGTTCAATTGGAGTGCTGTTTGCATTCATTCTGTTTACTATTTTGAGATGATAATTATAAATTTCTAAGATGCAAGTGTGCCATTTATTTATTTATATATATATATCTATCTATCTATCTATCAAATCAGATGTTGACAATCAACCAATCAAATTTCAATATTATTATTAATTATTAATTATTAATATGGAACATTTACAATCTACTACTGCTACTGCTTGTATCAACAATCGGATTTTGGTATTCGACAGTATTTGAAAGAGCACCAATACTCTCAATTTCAATAGAAACTTTGTCACCATCCTGAAGATAAATGGGCGGACTTCTAACAAAACCAACACCTAATCAAATGTAGACACATGTTTGTTTAGCTGATTAACGTCAAGTAGTTCATCATACTTGGTAATAATAATAATAATTGAGGTAATGATATGGTTTTTTTTTTACCTTCTGGAGTACCGGTTAAAATTAACGAGCCAGGTTGTAAAGTGGTTCCTTGACTTAGAAAGCTAATCAATGACGGAATATCAAAGATCATATCGGAAGTATTGGAGTCTTGTAGTACTTTGCCATTGACGACTGCTCGAATCGCAAGTGTGTTAGGATTTGGTATTATTTCAGGGGACACTAGTACTGGACCAATAGGCGAGAATGTGTCAAATCCCTTCGAGAAACACCATTGGCCAGAACTCAAACTGGTTCCTGAGATTAATTATAAACGATTATTATTACGAACATCATCGGTATAATATTAACAAATTGTATTATATACCCTGCCATTTCCTAGCCGAAACATCATTAGCCGCCGTATACCCGAGCACATAATCTAAAGCCTGCTCTTTCGTAACATCTTTACACGGTTTCTTTATCACCACCGCCAACTCCGCTTCATAGTCCACCTGATTTAATGCAATATTTGGGACTTTGATTGGCTCGAAAGGATCCTGTAGAGAATTCGACGGTTTGATAAATAACACGGGAAAATTCGGTAACGCTTGTTTTGTTTCTTTGGCGTGTTTACGATAGTTTAGGCCGACGCATCGGATTATTGGAACTTGGGATTTCGAGAGTGGAGAGAGTAACTAATTATAGATAGTATGAACTCGTTAATAATATATAGTGTTAATTAGATAAAGGTAAACATGTCATACCTTTTTTACTGGTAATATGGTATCTGTTATTTGACATGAATTAAAAATATCTCCAGTAATTACTCTTGCTTCAAGATCCGTTATAGAAGAAGGCCAAGTATAATTTTTATCTAGAATCGGTTCTCCTTGATATTCTTTTCCATCGGTGCTAACGAAACTGTTTCGGAGATTGTATCGGGTAAGATATGTGAATCCCAATAAATTCTAGTTAATTAATGAGATTAAGAATACTTACCGGATTATGTGACTCCAAGTCTAAAAGCATCGTGATATATCAATATATATATATAGTGAAATGTTTGAATATTGATCAATTGCTTTAGTCTTTTTATGAAAAGAATCAACGATTTAAAACTAACTAACCTGTGGAGCGGATAATAATGTAGACATGTTTGTGAGTGATAATAAAAAATGTGATTTTATTTTTTTAGTGGTAGCGATAGAATCAGATTTGAGGAAAACGCGCAACATTTATAGTTAACGTTAACGAAATATACGTATATAACGATATGTATTATAAATGATCAGAACAAAATAAGCGTGAGAAAATTAAAGTAAATGGGCTTCTCTATGAGAAGACTAATTAGTATATAATTCATTGTACAAACAAATGTGGTATATTTATTCAAAAATCTAGTCATTTTTTACTATTGTGACTCACCCACTTCATTATACATTTTTGCTATTGTTGAATTAGCGTTAGAAAATCCCGTCGATTCTTTTCTGATCCTGAATACGTACTTACTTAAATTAGATAATTTGGGTGATTCAATGATCCAAATAAAGTTTTGAATTTATTGTTTAGGTAATATCAAGTGGCTTACATAGATGATAGAATTCCCCAATTCGTATTACTATCATCATGGCTTCAGAGTTTCCGCGCCTGGTAAGGGGAATCACGGTCGAACGCTTAGACAAGTTCACTTCAAAAGACTTCTTTGCAGACGTGAACTTATACTCTGCGTTGTACAAAAAACGCACTGACGACTTTGAGTATGTCAAGCTTCGAGTTTACTCTGTTCCGAATTTAAAGCGTATTCCCTTTGACGAGGCCATTAAGCAAAAATTTCGACCAACGAGTGTCGGCAATTCGTTTGGTCCAAGTTGGGTGAGTGGAGGAAGATAAATGTTAGAAAAAAATGAAAATTGCATATCTACGATATTTCCTATTAGAAGTGTTATATTATATATAAAATTTGCTTTTTTCTATTTTTATATTTTATAGTCTACACATTGGTTCCATATTGTTGTTCACGTGCCAAGTAATTGGGTTAACGAAGAAGTGCAATTTTTATGGAATGCTGACAACGAGGGATTAGTATGGACTACAGATGGCGTACCACTGCAAGGACTTACTGGTGGTGGTAAGATTCATTTTAACATTTAATTGAATTAATTGCAGCTCAATAAAATATAATAATAATATGCCTTATTATAATTTCGTTATTTTGTATGTATTGCAAAAACACAGGCGGAAATGATCGTCGTGTCGAATACATTCTTACAACACGCTCAAAAGGAGGTGAAAAATTTGAATTCTATATTGAAATGGCATGTAATGGAATGTTTGGAGTCGGCGACAATGGTCTCATTAATGCGCCCGATCCGCGAAAATATTATAGTATTCGTGAGGCAGCGTTAGCTATACCCAATAAAGCAGCATGGGAGCTATGGTATGATTTTCAAATTATCCGCGGAATGGCCAAAGATATGCCACGGGAATCGGTACGCGCCGCACAAGCACTTTATGCCGCAAATGAGATTGTGAATGCTTTTCAGCCGCAAGATGATCATTCTATCCACGATGGAATTGAAATTGCTAAAGATTTTTTGAAGAATAAGAATGGGAGTACGCAGCATCAGTTGACTGCTGTTGGCCATTGTCATATTGATACTGCTTGGCTATGGTTAGTGATTATTTTAATAGTATCAGTTTATTATTATTGTTTGAATTAAATTGATCTTCTAAATCTTAAGGCCCTTTGATGAGACAAAACGTAAGGTTGCACGTAGTTGGTCGACTCAGGTTGACTTAATGGATCGGTATCCTGAATTCAAATTTGTGTGTTCGCAGGCGCAACAATTTGAGTGGTTAAAAGAATACTACCCAAAATTATTTTATAAAGTACAAGAAAAAGCTAAAAAAGAACAATTTTTACCGATTGGAGGAGTAAGTAACGTGAATTTTTAGTATGTTTTATTCATCTTTGCAAAATGATTAAATTAATTTATATACTTTCAATTATAATCATAATCATAATCATAATCATAATAATGATAATAATAATAATAATAGACTTGGGTAGAAATGGATTGCAATATGCCGAGCGGCGAAGCTTTTTGTCGCCAATTTTTATACGGGTAAGTCTATTTTATAATAATAGATAATAATAAACAGAATGGACTAAATTGAACACATCATTTCTATTAATCAGACAACGATTCTTTGAAAAGCATTTTGGGGAAAGATGCAAAGTTTTTTGGTTGCCAGATACTTTTGGTTATTCTGCTCAGTTACCTCAAATTATTCAAAATGCCGATATGAAATATTTCTTCACGCAAAAATTATCCTGGAATAATATTAATAAAGTATCTGTCTATGATGAGCTGATTATATAATATTTTACTTGGATTCTTATAATTGCAATTGACAAACTTATTATTAGTTTCCTAATACGACATTCTATTGGGTTGGCTTAGATGGTAGTAAGGTAAAGATTATGATTCTATTTTTTATAGTTTTTCTAAATATTTTATTAATTTTTTTTAATTAATCATTTAAAATAGGTTCTGACTCACATGTGTCCAAGTGAGACGTAAGCTCTTTTTTGTCTCTTTACATTTTATGTGAAAAGAGCTAAATTTTGACTCTTCAATTTAGTTATGTGGCTCAAGGAACCGTCGATGAGCTTGTTAAAAGTGTGACTAATAATAAAGATAGAGAATATACTAATGAAAGTTTACTTGTATTCGGTAATGGTGATGGTGGTGGTGGCCCACTTCCTGCAATGATTGAAAGAATACGTCGATTGAAAGATATTGTAAGATTATTGTTATTATGATTATTCTTCTTCTTCTTAACTCATCTATAATATTTTACTTTCGTTATTTAAGGATGGTCTTCCAAAAGTTGAAATGGGATCCGCGAATGGTTTCTATGAACGACTTGAAAAAGAATCAAAGAAATTGGTCACGTGGAAAGGAGAATTGGTAAATATCGGAGAAGTAATATTTATATTATCATACTATACGAAAAATACATTTAATTATCTTTATTTTAAAGTATTTTGAACTTCATCGAGGTACTTACACTACGCATGGACGTATTAAGCGATATAATCGAAAGTCCGAATTACTTTTGCGTGATGTCGAACTTTTGTCGAGTCTCACTCAATACACGCATAAACCTTTCAAGTATATCAAGTTTTTGTTAGCCTTTTATTTTTCTTGTTTGATTATTTTGCTGATTGGTTTTCATTGTTTCAATATCTTTTTTCTTAGATATCCAAAGGAACAGTTGGACAAACTCTGGAAATATGTTTTACTGTATTTATTTGTAATTTATATATTCTAAGGATATAAGACATTATTTAGAACTTACCTTTCTTTTTAAATTCCTCTATCCTATTTAAATTAGTAATCAATTTCATGATGTCTTGCCTGGTTCTTCTATCGAAATGGTTTATGATGATGCATATAAGGTAATAAAAAATATAATACTAATTCTAATCAATTGAAACTGAACTTAAAAAAATTTACGATTGTTCTTTATTAGTTTTACGAAGAAGTTGAAAAAACTGGTATTTGTCAAATTTGTGATCACGTTATGTCGCTCGTTCTCGATGCTTAATAATTAATATTTTCCACAAAAGGTGAAATCCTTCGTGAAGAAGCGCTTGACACTTTATTTGGGATATCAAAAAGCGCCGAAAGTGAACATAAAGGTATGTCAATTTGAGATTTTTCTTTTTCATTATTATCAGTACACAAATTTATTATTTTGCTGTTAGGATTGGTGACATTCAATACTTTGTCCTGGGAAAGGAATGAAATCGTCAAAGTTCCGGTTACTGATGGACTACCAAATCTGCAACAATATAGCGAGAATAAAAAGGAAGGATACGCTCTTGGTAGTGTTTTTTTTTAGTTTTGTCTAACAAAATCCGTTCAATCATTCTATCTATTAATATATGCAAAATATAATATACTAATATATAGTGAAAGATGTAATTGGAATTGGTGCCCAGCGCATTGAGCTTGATGATAAATCCGAATTTACTCCAGTCACTGGTAAAAAAAAAACATTTCTTTCATTTTTGTAAGATTTCGCTTTTCTAATAAACCATAATATTTCCACTTTTTTAGTATTTGAAAAGGACCATAGTTTTGTCTTAGCAAACGAATTTATATCTATAACATTCGATAAACACGGTCGTTTGACTAATCTGCTTGATCGTAAATTTGAGTAAGAATTTTCAGTTTAAAGAATTTCAACTATATTTGATACTTATATAATGTGTGAATTTTAGTCGCGAGATTATTCCTGAAGGGGAATTCGGCAATCGATTTAAGATTTACGAAGATATCGTATGTGAAAGTCATATTCCGTTGTTTTTATAAGCTATTATACTTGTTTTATACTGATTTATATTTGTTGATTATTTTTTTCAAGCCATTATTCTGGGATGGTACTTATATTGTTATATTCCCTATTAAATATTTATAATTTCTATAATTACTAATAATCATTATAATTACTATATTAATAGCCTGGGATGGTAAGACTATGTTTTCTACTATCTTTTTTTAAGCATGACATAATTTTAATTATTATTTTTTTGAATCCATAAAGTTGAAATCTATCACTTGCAGAAAGGACGTGAAGCTGGTCTTGGACACATCAAGGTAAACTTAAACTGTATCAACCTTCATTAAAAAAAAAAAACTCGCTTCTGTTTTAATTAATCTTTTCCCTCTATGCAGATTCACGAACAAGGCCCACTACGCGCTTCGCTAAAACTAGAAACAAAACTAACAAAGACAAGTAATCTCTCTCAAATAATCTCATTGTCTGCAATCTCGGCAAGGATTGATTTCGAGACAGAAGTTTACTGGGATGAAAATAGACAATTCTTGGTAAATTACATAAACTACAATGGTAAATAATGCGTCCAGAACAAATTTATACGATTTTTTTGATAATTACAGAAAGTTGAATTCCCAGTTGACATTAATCGAGATGTTGTAAGTTGTGAAATATGAATCAAAATTTTATGGATTTAATCAAAATTAAATTTGACAAAAACCTTGTCTTAGGCGACATACGAAACTCAATTCGGCTTTATTCAACGCCCGACTCATTATAATACTACATGGGACGCTGCAAAATTCGAAGTATGTGGACACAAATTTGCTGATTTATCAGAATATGGTTACGGGGTAGCATTACTTAACGATTCTAAATACGGTATGGTTATTTGATGGATATCAGTTCTAGTTTTCATTGAAATTGTATTGAATTCATTTCTTGATGATTTATTCATTGAATTAAAGGCTACGCAATCCATAATAACATTATCCGATTATCGCTTTTGAGGTCGCCAAAGGTTTGTTGCGATCACCACATTAGCTTATTCGATAATATAGCTTAAAATCTGTTTCGACTTCTTATTCATTTAGGCACCAGACGCACATTGTGATATCGGACATCACGTATTCAAATACGCGCTTTTGCCGCACGCTAATTCTTTCCTGGGATCAAATGTCGTGCGTGAGGCTTACCAATTTAACGTTCCGATTATTGTCAGGTGAATATATAATAGTGAGCATCAAAAATTAAATTATCTGAAGAACAGATAGATACTTAACAATGTTTTCACTTTCAAACATCAGAACTACATCCAGAGAAATCGCTGCCTCACTAGAACCTAAATCGCATTTCAAGATTGAAGGCGCAGAAAATGTTATACTGGACACGATAAAACGCGCTGAGGATTCTGATGAGATTGTGTTACGTTTGTTTGAAGCGTATGGCGGGCATGCTAAAGCGCGATTACGAAGGTTGATAAAATTTATTTATTTTTTGTTGCCGGAAAATTTTTGATCATTGAATATTATTATTTATTAATATAATTTATGTAGCACATTACCGATACATTGTATCTGCGAAACAAACATTCTCGAAGACATGGTTTCTAACATCAAATACGATGATGAAGATGGCGCAATTTTGAAATTCCGTCCATTCCAGTTTATCACGTTAAAAGTTATGTTGAGGTGAGCAACTCTGATTACTGCTGCTGTTGTTTTATTTTCTCTTCGGTAGAAACATCGCATGCATGTACTCTGGGGAATAATCAATAAAAGAAAGAATACCAGTCAACAAGATTGTACGATTGCTCATGTAAGGGTTTAATTAAAGCATTAATCGCCCACTCAAACACACACATACCCAGCCTTAATTCCATCACCTAACAGCAATAATAATCTTGAGCCCACCTCGTGCTTTGTCTTTATAGATCAAACAATCATTTAATCGATCGATTTTCACTAAACTCAAGATTATTCTAATATAATTTTTGATTTCTAGGGACCACGAATGGACTTTTGTATAATCTTTTTTGTTTGTTCACTGACACATTTTATTGGCTAACTTATATATATATATCAAGTTATTATTTATAAAATTTTGGTATATAGTAATCAAATTTCACTTATCCAAATAAATATACATGATCTTTAAATAATTTTCTATCAAGCTATGTTTATAATCATTTAAGAATATTTATATTATAAATAAATAAAGCAAGAATATTGTGTTATAGTCAAATCCATTTATAATCATCTTTTGGATAAAGTCAAAAATGTAATTGCAAAAAGTATTTTTATTATACATTCAATCGAAATTATTTTTGGTTTGATTCAATTAAAATGATCTGCCAGGTTTCGTCGATCCCTTGATTTAAAATTCGTGCAACATGGCGATCATTTCACCTTATAGAACTCCATTGTTTTCTTCTACAGTCGCGAACTCGAAAATGGACATTAAATCCGAACAAGTTTTTTATAATTCTCAAAACACTGTAAGGAAAGCGAATATGAATTTTAGTGATTCTATATTTAAACATATAAAAAATTCAGTCTAAATTATTTTACATAGCAATTGGTTTCTGATCCTTGGCGTAAATATCAAATAGAACATGAAATAGGAAGGTGAGTAATTGCCTACTTATATTATTAAAGATTTTTTTTCTTAGATCTTTCTTTGTTTAATTTTTTACAGTGGATCGTTCTCAAAAGTATATCTTGCTATAAACCGAGAGACTGGAAATACACACGCTTTGAAGGAGATGCGAGTGGACAGAAACATAGACTCTGATACCTTAAATAAACTATCGCAGGAAGTTGTGATAATGAAAAATCTGCGTCATCCATATATAATATCATTGGTTAACTCTTATAGAAAACCAGATAAATTGTGGCTTATTCTCGAATATCTTGACGGTGGTGATATCGCGTCATTTATCAAGAAAAATGAGGATCAATACCATGCAATCGCATACAGGACACGCTGCCAGCTTTTTGCGAGGCAAATTTGCGAGGCACTGGCAGTATGTATTTTCAAAATTTTACTGCTACTATAAAAATAAATTGAAAATATCTTTTACTGTTTCTGGGCTTTAGTATTTGCACAGTAAAAATATTATGCATCGAGATATTCAACCTAAGAATATCATGATAACGGATCGAAATCAAGATAAAGTTAAAATTATCGACTTTGGACTGGCCAAAAACTACTCGGATGATGCTAATGATAATATCTCGAATATTGGCACGCCGACATATCGAGCACCTGAATTATTCAACTCTAGCAATTATAATTGTGCAGTAGATATGTGGTCTTTTGGTGCCGTTTTATATCATATGCTAAATGGGGTACCACCTTTCCCTGGTGAATTTGTGTCTGAGATATTTCATTCTATCCAACATAGTGAAGCTGATTATTCAAAATTGGAAAAAAATCAACAATTTCGAGCGGTGGATTTCTTAAAAAAACTTTTAGTTGTAAACCAGGATTCTCGAATTACTGCTATCCAGGCTCTTGATCATGATTATTTAAAGGTTAGTTAGTAGTAAGGAGCTCCGATTATGAAATTCAACTTAAGAATAAGCACATGGTTATTTTTATATAGGAAGCATATAATGGCGAATATCTAACCTCTTCACCCTGGGATATAGAAGGTAATCACTTTCATTCTCTTTTCAACTATTATTTATTGATTTAATAATAGACGCTCGTGCATTAATACTTTCACGATACATAATAATAATTAGACTCTCAGCCATTATCACTTCCTTTAGAAAAATTTGGATTGCCTATCTCAATATCTAAGGTCTCTGTTGATACAATATAAAATTATTGTTATTTTTCAACCATTTATTGATCAATATGTTTTTATTTGTCATACAGAACAATGCATCTTCAGGTAATATATGGGGAGTACTTCAGCCCGTTGAGCCAGAATTACAAATATCCAAAACACCTATCATCTATCTCCGAGACTCAAGCTATATATTAGGACGTGGTCATGGTAATCCAACTTTTGATTTCTTTCCAATATTTATAGCATATATTTCGGCATATTTTTGATTGTTTTTTAATTTTTATGTTTGATAAAAGAATGTTCGCCAATATTAACTTTCCCGACTCATCTTGTTCTCAGTAATGAACGTAAGTGCTTTATGGTGTTTAGAGTCGAATAAAAATTATTCATTCGAATATTCGTCACCTTAATTCGAATAATCTATGTTTATATTCGAACATAAATTATTCGAATAATGTTATTTGTTCGAATAAGCTATTTCTCTTTAAAATAAAATGCATAGATTAAAACTCTGCCCAAAGATTTTATTCGCGAATAGATGATCGAATAACACCTATTCGAATCCAAACACTATATACTGTAAAAAATCTTTCGGATTACCTTAATTTTTTCTTTTCTTATATCCAGATGCATTAATTTATTATGACAATGGTCAAGCCTACCTTCGAGATATCTCGCGAAATGGAATATGGGTTCAAGGAGATCGCATTCCAAAAAACGAAGATATCTCGTTGTACGGGGGCGAAACTATATATTTTGTAAAGATACAAAGTAAGTCACGCTTTTCTTTTTTAAATATAATAAAAAATGTTTATCATATTCAATTATTACTTTAAAGAAAGAGATGCAGGGAATTTGAAAAATCTCATTTGTCGATTTTTTTATCAGGGGTAAGAACTTTATTTCTATTTATTTTTAGAATTTCTAGCTAGAAAGATTCTAACACATCATAATTTTAGTCGAGCTCCAACTTATAAACATTTTGTAGAAATGAAATATTAGAAAAGTTTTATTTTGAATAGAACAAACATGTCAGACATTCATTTAATATTTAAGACTTTAATTGATAAAGTTTAATCTAAAATAGGTAAGAAAAAGTATGTGAATATTGTCATCTTTATGTGGTTTATTAACTTTTAAATGTAGTTTTTTATGTGATTTGAACCAAATGAAAAAGACAATATAATAATTAAATGTTTTATAATCAAAGTGCTAAAGGTAATATTGTTTATGTAACTTTTGAATATATGTAGGTTGCTGTTGTTCAATTTATATTTTTCTCCAATTATACCAAAGCTATAGTTCATTTTGGTATTATCAAAGATTTGATTAGCAAATAAATAAAGTAATTGAAAGATTAACAATTTTGAAAACTGTAAATCATATTATATTGATGCTAACAGAAAGAGATTTTTTTCTGTTGAAAAGAAACAACTTTTTGTATGAATGATTCAAATGTATAATGCTGTTCTATTTGTTATATTGTTACTGATTCAATATATGTATACATGAATGAAATGACATAGTCATAATAAAAATTAGTCATGATAATATTTAAATTGCGTATTTAGTTTGATAACTTTCTATTTCTTTCTATTTCTTTTTCGTATTACTTATCTTACTATTTATTTCATTATTATTTTAATTTGAATATATTAATCACACAATTTTCTTGGTAAATTTATCATTTTTTATATTAATTTAGCTTCTATTTTCTATTTTTACTATTAATACTTTAGTGTAGAACAAGATTATTAATTATGATATAGTTAAATTTTGTGTAATTTAGAAAAAAACCAATAATTTTATAATATTAATATAGATTTACTGTATCACATACTGCGCTGCAACTGTATCATACTGCGTATTATTATATCATATTGTACTATTATAACATGAAAATATATATAAATACAAGTATTGATAATTAATAAAAATCAAGTTCTCTAGTTCATATTTGAAGTTCTTCAAGTTCAATTAAGTTTTCTTAGTTTGATTTTAAGTTTCTTTTGGTTTTGTTATTTTGAATTAATTTAATTTTGAAGTTAAAAGTAGTTTTTGATTAAAATTTCTTTTAATTTAATTTTGTTATTAGTTTAGTTTTATTATCATCAATTTTATCTTGTTAAGAAACATCATTCTATCATTATAAACATTAATTAGTCATAAATTCAAAGTAAATTGCTATAAACACAGTCACTATTATCATTTTAAAATATTTTCATATGCAAAAGCTCAAAATATAGCAATTTCAAAATCGAAATAACAAAAATAATTACTTAATATAAATGATTTTGCAAAAAAATTGTTGTAAATAATTTTAAGATACCTTTAATATAATTCAAATATTTTTTGAACTATTATAATCTTACTCTTTATCACAAAATAAAAATCTTCCAAAAATTACTGAAAAATCTCAAATTATTTTATTATTCATTAAATAAAAAAATTGAATGGATAAAAAAGAAATACTTATATAAATTAAAAATTTTGCAAAAAAATGATTGTATAACTATAATAATAAACTTGTACTACTTATTTATAATTCATTTAAAGTGCAGCTTACAGATATTATTAAAGAAAAAATCATATTAATCTCATTATTATTCCTGATAAACTCATATTCATATGTTAATTATTGAATATTTCTATTAATTATCTGTTTAAAGTTCTTCTTTATCATTATTAATATATATAAATAGCAAGTAGTAAGCCTAAAAAAACTATAAATAAAAATCTAAAACATGTAAATTTGTATATTGTATATAAGTAGATATTTGTTATTTGATTTGAAACCAGTTCAGAGATTATTTAGCATGTTTTTTAAAAATGTTGCATTTTCAATATTATAAATAGATTTGAAAATAATGAAATTTTTGCTGATGAGATAAGTAGGGTTCCGAAAAAAAGTCTGGTTCGGTTCGAGTCTGGTTCGGTTCGAGCTTGAACCGGACTCGAACCTGACAAAAAGTCCGGTTCGAAAATTCGAACCTAATTAAAAGTCTGGTTCGAGTTCGGTTCGAATTTCGAACCAGACTCGAAC